CCCCCCGTCACTTCCACCCTCACCATCCTAATAGAGCCATACTACCAGAATTCTGTGTATCTGTTACTGTGTTAAACACGATTTCGATAGTAAACTGTTCTGTTTCAAAGGCAGATTTGCAGAAAATTATATATATATATTTTTGACTGTTGTATTCTTGGAATAAAGTTCTCCTCATATCAGAGTTTTGCATTTAATTCCATCCACAGCGACCTTCAATAAACATCTGTGTCATACGTCACTTCCTGTAGTGTCGCTGCTGCCTGACACCCCCCGAGCTGCGTGCCGAAGGACATTGCCGGATTATGGTCTCTGTCACCGCTAAACAAGGTAACTGTTCATTCTCTACGGCCAGAGCCATTAATGAGAAATGGAGTCTGCAACCTACCACCCTCTCTGCCATGCAGAGGCCGATATATAAACTGCTGGTGGTACGGCCCCCTTGAGTGATTTGTCCAAATTTAAATTTCATAGATAAGGGGGGGATATCAGGGCCGCCCCTCTGTCAGAATCCATGTCTGCGGCAGGATGTGCACATGTAACTGCATTCTAACATTTGTTGGTAACAAAGTGCAACTGAAGCCAACACTTTCTCCAGTTCGAGATGCAGTGGGATGGGATTAGACCCTCTGTCAGCTTTTTTATCTCTGTCTGTGTCCCCGTTCAAGAGATTCACCCTTTCTATTAGGGATGCACCGATACCAAGTACCGTACTCGGTACAAGTACAGATACTTTTCCAGGACTAGACTAGAGAACAACTCAGAAGTTAGGAGGCGGCTGTCACGTGTAAGGAGCACACGGAGCTCCCGGGATTTGTACACTATACGGGATTATTGTATGATTTTGTTTTATAAATTAAATATTCGGGATGCACCAATACCAATTTTCCAAGTACAAGTACTGATACATTTTTGTTTATTGTCATGTGACAGTTATTCTAAAACAATACCGACTAATGATTTCAGGACAGTGGTGGAGTACCAGAGTAGGGCTGCAACTAATGATTATTTTCATAATCGATTAGTTGCCCGATTATTTTTTGATTAATCAATTGGTTGCATTAAATCTTTCTGTCCCTCCCTCTCTCTGTCCCTCCCTCTCTCTGTCCCTCCCTCTCTTTCTCTCCCTCCCAACTAATTGATAATGAGAATAGTTGCCAACTATTCTCATTATCGATTAGTTGTTGCAGCTCTATACCAGAGCCAGGTCCCAGCTGCAACCCTGGTAGTTCTCGTAAAAACGCCAAGTATCGGCATTGGTATCTGAACTGGTATCGGTGCGTCCCTACTCTCTATGTGTCCCGGTGAATGTGATCACTGAAAGTGAAAGGAAATCCCACATTTTGGGTTTTCACCAGAATAGAAATAGATGGGAAATCTTCCTATGTGGACACCAGTTCCGGTGACCACCAGGGATCTCCTCTCACTTCCTGTTGTGGTTATCAGACAGGAAGAGAAGGGAAATCGTCCCAATGGGACACGGATGGCAAAAAGAAAGCTAAATGGGGGTTATAACCCTCCCCCACTCTATTCAAAGATATTTAAAAAAGGTTTGAGCTTCAGTTCTTCTTTAAAGGGGAAGTCTACTACTCTAATATTATATGTATATATATAAAGCTAAATATAGCTAAAGCTTCAATATATAAAGGTTGTGATGTGTCTGAGGGAAGAGCCGGCAACCAATCAGATTGTCCGGTTATTTTTTATAATTTACTCTGATAAGATTAAATGGAAAAGATCCGGATTGGTTGTGGTGGGCGATGGAGGGATGGATGAGGGTTATTGTTTACAGGCGGCCATTTCTGATTCCCCTAAATACGATTAAGGTCTATAGATGCAAATATCTGATTAGTGTGAAATATACATTGTTCTAGAAATACGATAATTGTCTTCAGGGCCTGTTCACACGACGTCCGTTTTCTGTGCTGACCTGATCCCTACGCTCCTGCACTAAAAATGCCTCCCAATGTCTCCCTATGTGTTTTATGGGCTACAGTCCTCACGCGCGCAGTCCGTTCAGGTTACGACAGAAAAATACTGCATGTCACATTTTGTCCGGTCCGGAAACGCACGAACGCGCATGAAACGCAGCGAAAACGGAACGCAATGCAGCTAAGCAAAAAAAGTATTCTTGCTCCACTTATTATGATGTCAGAGGCAGTCAGGGTGGGAGATAGACGGACAGGTTGGGGTAGAGGTAACGACATGAACTGCAAACATTTGGAACATGCCCGTTACCTTGCCATGGACATCGGAGTAAAGGAAACAAATGTATCCGGGTGACCTCGCAAATCCTCATACAAACTCCAGAACTGACCCTGGGAGTCCCGGAGCCTCAGGATCGCGTGTACCCAATCACCACGTCTCCTGCGGGCTCGTTCTCTGCACATTGCTGTAGCCGGCGCCATCAACATGCCTGCAAACATGTGAAACATGTCTGATCACCAGCTTTACATACACAAAGGGAAGTAGATGTTCCGAGAGGGCGGAAGTGACCTCAGAGGAAGGATCTGCCGACTGACAGCCCCACGGCTAAAAAAAAGCATCCGGATCAAAAACGCACTGCATTAGTACCCTGTTTCCCCGAAAATAAGACCTAGTTATGACCATTCCCAGGGGCCGGTGGCGGCATAAGGGGCAACTTGAAGAGCCGCGGGAGAGAATCAGCAGTGCCAACGAAGCCGGCGCTAGAGGAAGCGAGGCGGCAGCGGAGGGAGCAGAGACGCATAAGCTGATGCCTCCTCTATAGCCCCGCCTCCTGCCACAGGCGGAGTGATACCAAATGCATCCCGCCTGTGAGGAATCCATAGTGAAAGCGCGCTTCCCCCATTCTGGCCAGCAATTGGTTAGCAAATTGCTCTTGGAAAGGTACGGCACCCCTGGTGGCCCAGATCAACATATTTTTGTACATAGATACCGTGTTTCCCCAAAAGTAAGACCTAGCGCTATCTTCAGGGATTTCTGTAATATAAGACCTCCCCCGAAAATAAGACCTAGTTCGCTGGTAGGTCTTATCCCTGAAGATAGCGCTAGGTCTTACTTTCGGGGTAGAAGACTGGCCGCAGCTCCCCTCCCTACCACACGCACGCACACCCACCTGTCTACCTTGGCTACCGCTGAAGACTACATTTCCCAGCAGGCAAAGTGCGGCATAGCCAATGGGGTCGAAGTGGACGGCATCAGAGCGGACAGCTGCAGCCAGCTAAATATAAGGCATCCCCCGAAAATAAGACCTAGTGTCTTTTTTCGTTGAAAAAAATATATAAGACACTGTCTTATTTTCGGGGAAACACGGTAGCACCGCGTCTCCAGATCCGCACCTGATATCATGTGATACAGGCCCTAAGGCTGGGTTCACACCTAGGCGTATTGCATATGCGCGTTTGCACCGCCATTCGCGGTAAAAAAGTCGCACGACAAACGCGCGTTTCCGTGGGCTACTTGGCTGTATCCCAATGGAAACGCGAGACCAAAACGCCACAAAGTAGTACCTGGACCTTTTCAGGCGTGGGCCGTTTTGTAGCGCGTTAGGGACGGGCGGAAATACGCTGAGGTGGGAACGAGACCATTGAATACAATGGGATTTATATTTCTGACCGTTTTGTAGAGCGTTCGTCGAGCGTTGAACGCGCTACAAAACGTTCAGGTGTGAACGAGGCCCAAGTGTTATAACAAGGAGAGAGGAGAGAACAATGGCGGGATATATTACACGGGTACAATATTATTAGTGTGGGGATTCCTTATACCGCCGGAGTCATCCTTGTATGGAGGGGAGGAAGTGCTCAGTAACCATGGCTGTCTGGCAGTTGATTGGTAGTTGATATTAGCCAATCGCGTATATACTTCTACATAAGACCTTGTGCAGATTCTGGGCTTTTATAAACTATCAGCAGACAGGCGCTTTCCGGTCATGGCAGAAACTAAAATAGAGGGAAGAAGAGTTCACACAGATGACTGTAGAATAATAGGGGTCCTCCCAGGGCCGTGGCCCTGGGTCCTCCGCACAGCGCGCCGCTCGTGTGCATGATTCTGGCCCACCGTCTATAGATAACAGGCTAGCAAATAATACAAGAAGATGGTGGACTTGATGGACTAATGTCTTTATTCAACCTCAAATACTATGTAACTATGTAATCGATTTTGAAAATAATCGTTAGCTGCAGCTCTAATGGCGGCAGCTCAATCACAAACTCTGCTAAAATTGCTGGGGCGCCTTCCCCTTTATAATTCCCCTAGGAGGGGGAGGGGGGGCACCATCAGTGTAAGTCACCCATCATAGCTCGGGGGGGGTGGGGGTGCAAGTCCCAGCTCTCAGTCCTCCGAGTGTCACCCTCACACACGACAGAAATGGGCTGTTTGGAGTCATGAACGATCTCTTCTTGTGGGTCAGCGGAATGAATCGGAACTGGAGCCGTTCCAAATGGCAACCAACTGAACAAATGGAACATAGAAGCTGATTGGTTTCCGGGGGCGTCTGCTCCAGTGTTGATAAATATGTTTCTTTTTTTTAATATATGTTTTCTCTTTATATTATTCGGATTATAACTTA